CCGTGGAGCCCTTGCCGCGGTGGCTGCAATATCTGCCACCAGCATCGCGGTTGATGCCGGACCGGCGCGGAGAGGAGTATGTGGTAGAGGACATGGTGTTTTGGGTGGAGTTCGGAATGCTGGCAAAGACTGGAGTTGTCGAATGTGTGCTCTGAGAACTTGTGTCAATATCGGGCCTGAGAACTGCCGGTGGTGCCCATTGTGATGCAAGCTGTGATGCCGCTTGTGATAGTAGTCATACAGACACAGGTCACAGTAAATGGCAATTGCTGAGAAGTCTGGTTGCTGAGTGATTGGAAACAACACGCAGGCAGGACTCGGACGGACAGTAGTAGGAGCCAAAGGACGACGTGAATTGGTTCAAGTGAGTGAATCGTTTCCCAGAGGCACTGGAAAGGAGTGACCGTTCCAGGGGCAAACTGGAAGGAAGACGCAGGCTGTGAATTGCTTTTCTCGCCTTCGAAAACAAAGGTGCGAGGAAAGAAGAAGTTGGAGGTGAGAAGAAATTGAATCGGGGATTTAGAGAGAAAGATGAGCTAGGGCAGTGGTACCTGCGTAAGCTATTTCTCACGGGGCAATGATAGTCGTGAGGGAAGGAACGCATGGAAGGTTTGAGAAGATACGAGGGATGCACCTGCCGTATTTGCGATCATTGACCGTATTAGTCAATGTGTGTGTGCATTGTTACTTCCTTCTTTCTGCACCAAAATGGTGTTGGCAATCCCCTCGCTGCCTTCATCATCAACCGACTCCAATTCGCTTCCATGCCCAAATTATGGACCACTTGTCGAACGTCAACCTCAACCTAGTGTCAACCTCCAACGCTCCATAAACATTATCAACTGCCACCACATCCCAGACCTTTTTACTACTCACAAAAATGGCCAACGAGTGGTGGCGAAACCTCAAGGACAGCGCCAAGAACCTCTTGGCCAAGATCAGACGAAAGGACAAGAAGAAGGGCGACGGCAAGCAGCCCCGCAAGTCTGTCTTCAAGGAGGAGATCTGCCCATGCCCTCCCAACAACTGCACTTGCTCCCACGTCTACAACCCAGCCAACGCCCAGCGTGCCGCCAACAATTTTACCCACCCCCAACGAGAAGAGACTCGGCCAGAAATGCCCTAACCCTAGCCCCCGAGATCATTCAATCCGCCGAGAGACCATCACAAGATGGCGCTGGCGATCGATCCCCGGAGGCTTCAGACCACTCCGCTGCTGCAAGTCACCTTGAGCGGAAGAAGCGCCCGCAACCCTCTAGAAGATTTTAGGACGACGCCGAGAGTACAACACGCCAGCATAACATGGCGCACCAACAGCTTGAGGATCACACGAGAAGAATGCGTGAGCAGCAGCAGCAGGAATCGATGCGCCAGCTTGACACTATGCGCCAACATCAGGATATGCTGAATCAGCAACAGATGCACCGCCAGCAACAGCAAACGCAAGAAACGACGCGCCAGCAGCACCATAATACAATCAATCAGAATCTGATGCAGCACCAGCAGATGTTACACCAGCATCAGAACATGATGCGCCGGCAACATCAGGTGGAGTCACGCCCCTACACAGCATTTTCATGGTTCTTATCTTAGCAGACAAGAGGACAAATGCTGACATCCTGACTCGGCGGCGTCTTTAGATATCCTGAGACAACACCAACTGCCAACGATGTCCTTTTATCCATTTCTCCTACCACCTACGAAACAGGCAGATGTCCTGTTGTGGATTGTGATGGGGTATACCGTGTTCTTATGAGAGCTTCGGCCTTTCTTTTACCTGCTTAATGCCCTGCCTGGGTGGGCCGGTTGGCTACTGGCATCAATACAAAGCTGCCATGTACCTTCTTGTCCTTGCAGGACGAGTGAGTGAGTGTCTTATCGTTAGCTTGGCCTGTTGAGTAGAGAGAGTATGTCTTGGCCTCATTCCTGGGGGGGCAAAAGGTTAGAGATGGCAGTATATCACTAGATCTCTATCAATTGTGTACTTCCTTTGGGGTTCGTGTGTGTGATGTGGCTCAATGTTATTCCTGAACTCGATACCGAATCAACCTCTTCCGTCCCCGGTACACTATACTACTAGTTCTAGTACAGCTCCTCAGCGGGGGCACACAAGCCCATAAGGGGAACCTTCGGGTAGGTGGATACCACAAATATTGGATGAATCTCGTGCTCTTCCAGTGATATTTTCTTCCAGTATCCCCAAGTCATACAATAAATAGAGCCAAACAGTGCGCTCGGAGCCAGTATGGATCTGGATTTCCCTTAGATCAAGCATAGCCCATCAATATGAAATATGTTGACAAAATAGACAGAGCACCCCTCACTCACTTCTGCAACACCAAAATACTCCCCGAGCTACTCACCCCACCATCCTCACCCGGCAGCACCCGGCTCCCCTGCTCATCTCCAAACGGCGAAAACGCAATCAAACTCTCCGGGCTCTCAACACCCGCCTCCTCTTCCTCCATCTCCCCCCGTCTCCCCGACGGCAGCACAACAAGCCTCGGCCTCTGCGGCGGCGCAAATATCCCCGACTCCGACCTCCCCGTCCCCGTCTGTGTCATCTCCGCCTCCCCTTCCGACCTCGTCCTCGTCCTCATTGGCTTATCCTTGCTAGCCAACCGCATATGCCACCTACTACCATACCCACCACCACCACCACCACCAAACCTCGACGACTGAGACTTCGACCTTGACAGCGAGCCTGGCCGCATATATCTCAGATCCGTACTACCACTCCCGCTACCACTACCACTAACCCCATCGCCAGACATGGCCGCGCGCGTGATGCGGCGCTGGCGCCCGCTAAAGATGGGCTTCAGCGCCGAGACGCTGGCGCAGGATATCGCGATGGTGACCTCGATGACGGACCACAGGTTGACGAGGATGCCCTCGCGGAAGGGGTCGGTCGCGAGCGTGTAGGTGCGGATGGTGTGGAGGCGGACGACGGAGGCGACGGCGGCAAAGGTGCCGACGCCAAAGATGAGGAAGAGGGCGACCTTGTCGCGCGTGGGCCGGTTGATGCCGTGGAGGGTGCGCAGGGGCAGGGCGAGGATCCAGATGTCGGTTATTATGTTGAAGGCGGATGTGACTGGGCTGGGTGGTTAGGACCGGTCGAAGAGGTGTAGATAGGGGGTTAGATGGAAAGAGGGGAGAGGGGCTTACAGTAGAAGAAGGCGGTGGTGTTGATACATGTGCCGTCTACGGTGCCGGCGAGGTCCCACATCTTGTTTAGGGGCTTGCACTGCGCCAACGTGACTACAAAGCATATGAAGAAGAAGACTGCGTGTAGGGCGATGGTGCTGTAGCAGAGGACGCGAAAGGTCGGTGTGACAGCTTTGGTGGGTTAGCTGGACTCTGCCTGGATCTTCAGTGGTTTGAGGAACATGGATTGGGAAGGCTCACCGAATCGGAGGTATGTGAACAGAATGGAGGTCTTGATGCAGAATATGTTTGCATAGTACATGACCTGGACTGCTAAAGTAGCCTAAGCTGTGTGTTAGTGGCTGAAAAATCATTCTTCATGCAACTGGTTACTTGTCTGGTGGGGGAGCATTTACCTTGATGAAGTTGATCATGTTGTCCAAGGTCAGCATCGTCACTGGGAAACCAAGGTGATTATTCCTCAGGATGAAGATGTCAATGAGGTAGCCAATGGTGAGCAACTGAAAACAATCTTTTGTCAGCGATCTACTGTTCTTTGGGCACAAAGGTGACAAAACGGGACGTTCGACAAACCAGAGCCGCAATGATGAGATAGTCGTCCGGGCCAGGATTCCGAATGAGAACAAATCGACTGACACATCGCAGGACCACAAAGATTGCTAGACAGTCAATCACATATTAGGAACAAACAAACAAATTATAGATCAGCAAGGTAATAGGATAGATAGGATTATAGTGAACGGAGGCTTACTCGCAATAGTAGTCATGATCACAGATGTGATGATGAGGCCATCCTGGCGCTGCTTGTCTTTCCAGTCGACTTCCATTTTTTCTTTCTTACTGGGGACGTTGTCAAGGAGCAGGACAGATATATACCGTGACATCTACTCCGTAGTAGTTGAGACGCGATTTGAATTCAACAAGGATTCCGCCTCGTATTCCACAGATCTGTCAACCACGGGAGCAGAGCAGGATCCTTATACTTTTCCAGACCGGGATGGGAGCGTGATCAAAGTAGTAGAAGGAGAGCCAGAACCAAACCACACGGAAGATCATCGGCGGAAACAATGCATCTAGCCGACTAGCTGATCTGTTGGACCCCAGACCATGCCGCACGGCCAGTATTGAATGTCCGAGTGACGATGTTGTATGTCAGTGCTCACCTTAGCGTTCTAACGACAGAAGAAGTGCCACAACCCCTCTCAACAACGCGGGACAAGACGGGACGAAAGACCATAATGAGCCTGTGAGAAGGGCAAAAGGCTACGACATACCTGATCTAGTTCCCGCGGCCGCTCCTGCACGCTCAGGCTCGGGTGGCCAGCGGGGACGGCTTGGGAAGAAGACCTAGCTAGGTCTGACAAGGCCAGACCCGATTCGCGATCAGACCCTCAAAAAGACAACAGGAGAGACGGGATGGGTGGAGAGAGAGAGATATAGGGTAGCATTGAATCGGCCAAGTGCAACGGTGCGGGGTCGATGGGAAAAGATCGTCACCGGGCTCTTACACTAGAATTGAGTAGGCTGTCGACTAGGGAGAGGGGAAGACTACGGCCCATGCGATCAGACACTAATCTGGGTGGTGGGTGTTAAACGCCACTTGACAAACTTGCTGAGCCATGATAGGCTGCACGCTTGGACACGAAACTTGATTCTGACTTCTGCATCAATTGAGATGGTGTCGGCGGAAAATTCGAGATCTCGTTTCGACGTTGTTGATGACAGAGGAGGAAGGAGGTGGTGATGAGGGGCTACCTACCACAACAGTCTTAGATGGATGGATGATAACCTAACAAATTCATTTTTTTTGGAGAAAAGCAAAAGAAAAAGCCGAATGCCCAATAACAGGATTGAACTGTTGACCTTCGCATCACATGATAGAATCGCTTCTATTAGTACGACGCTCTAACCAGCTGAGCTAATCGGGCCTCTGTTTGATTTGATGAACGAACCTTGCGTAAATTTTACGAGCTTAGTCGTCACAAGCTTTCTGGTGTTGAACTACAAATTGACTCTCACATGTCCGGATATGAATTAGGTACCTAGTCTAGTAAGATGTAATTTGTTCTAGCGTAGAAAACGCCGCATGTGATCGTGATTTATGTTCGATGCACCCCACAAGGACACAACTGCCCCTAAAACACGCCAAGCACAGGAACCAAAGTCATATCTCCTGACATGCATGAAATAATAAAAACCCAAACCCTTCTACCCCCAGCGCCCTGCTTAAAAAACATTGATTCAAACGTCCCTGTCGTGTATCGTTTCTATTCATAAAAGTAACGGCTGGCGTTCACCGACAGCCGCTTTCTGCAACGCAACTCTCTTGTATCTTATCACTTCGATACCATGTTCATCGACGGTCTTCTCAGCGGTTACAACGTATCCGCCCAGCCATGGCCAGACCTTTGTCCACAGCGCCCAATACACTGCGCCGAAAAGCAGGACCCCTGTACCCACCAGTGGGAAGGCGTAGTATGGATAGCCATCGGCATTCCAGTCGCTGTTGGGTGGGATGAAAGGCGTGAGGGCGAGGAAGATGTTGAGGCAAAGATAAACCACCGTGACCGGAAGGTATGTGCGCCACGGCGAGGACCAGTTCTCGGTTTTGCTCAGGCGCAGGTAGATGAGCCCACCTGCGACGAAGCCGTTGATCCAAGCGCCCGGGTAAGTGTATCTGAAATCGTGATGTTAGCAAACCGGATGGTCGGTGAAAGGTTGGGGTCAAATAAGACACTTACAGGTTGACAATAAAGTTGTATGCGGCACCGGGAGGCGGTACCAGAAGCACAATCACCGTGACTATCCAGTGCAGAAACAGCTTTTCGTCGTCAGCTCATGAATAAGGAGGAGGGAGTTGTGGTGGTAACTTACCGACGCGGCGGGGGTGTTGAACGGTTTGTTTGAGGCCCAAAACTTGCTGAACGGCAAGATGCCTTCTTTGGCTAGTTCCTGGTTGACTCTCGAATGCGCAAAGCTCACAGCCAGCACATTTCCGATATTACTGAATGCAACGAGAGCGGGAAGACTCCTCGCTGCCGCGCTCTCTCCGAAAATATTCCGAAAAAATAGGCCAGCAACGATAACCTCCGATTTGGCCAAGTCTGCCTTGGGAATTGCCGCGAAATATGCGACATTGGCGAGTACATATAGAATGGTAACACCCACAACCGCCAAGGGCGCGGCAATGGAGAGCGTTCGCCGTGGGTTCTTCAGCTCTCCCAGCACATAATTGGCGTTCTCCCATCCCTTGTAACTGTAGACAACCTGCAGCAAAGCTGTAGCGTATGCGTACGCGCCGCCGCCGCCGTATCCATCCCCCTTTTCAATGGTCCACATGTTGTCGAAGTTGTGTGGATCAGGCACCAGCCGGTGGCCGGCCAAAGCCGCAAAGCCGGCAAAAACGATAAGCAGGAGGACAATGACTTTGAACACGCCGAGGATGTTGGTAAGTCTAAGTCCCCATTCTGGACGCGTTGAGTGCAGTATAATGACAAACGAGATGCACAGAACAGCAATTGCTCGGGCGGCCCAGCCATCCGGTGAATGGTATCCTGCTGCGAGGAGCACGTATCGGCCAAACGCGAGGGAGTTGCCGGCGGAGAATCCGAGAGTGACCATCTGAACAGCAAAGACACTCGTGGCTAGAAATGGAGGCTTTTTAAAGACACGTTCGAGGTAGTTCTTTTCGCCGCCAGATAGCGGTATCGCCAGTCCAAACTCGAGGTAGACACTGAGCCCAGAGAGTGTGAGAAGGCCGGCTGTGGCATGTCAGCCACAATGCCACGCTTTTTGGGCAACAGATATTACAAACCGACGGCCCAGAGTAGGAGGCAGATGCCAACTGATCCGGTGGAGGCAAAGATGCTGGATGGGGTTGAGAATACTGGAATAGTGTGAGTAGATGGCCCAGAGTGGAAAGTTAGAGGAAATGGAAACTTACTTCCAGTCCCGATCATCTTGTTCAAAATCAGAAAGACGGCTCCCGCAATACCGATCTTTCTTGATTCAGGAAGGGTATATCTTGGCCCGCCTTCTCCGCCAAGGCGGACGCCATTGCTGTCAAGCACCTCACTCTCGGTCTCGCTGTCGACGGCGTCGTCGACAGCATCCCGGGGTTTAGAGGTCGAGCTTGGTTTCCAGTCCATTGCGAGCTAAAATGAGGCCAAAGACCTCAGATAGAGAGGAAAAAAAAAAAAAAGATGTTGCGATGAGGCTCGGCGGTCATGAGGAGAATACCTAAGGTATGCTTGGCACGAGTGGCTTATGGCGGTGAGGTCTTGAGGAACTACTACTTCTCTTCAAGCGTTTATGTCTTGCTACTTGCAGCATCGAAATGCGGTGTCGGGACCACGGCCAAGCAATTGAGGGGAGCTAGCCCCGATTGCGTGCTTGTAAGCCGCGATGGCAAGCGCTTCTCACTAACCTCACCTCAACTCCCCAATCCGTCCGCCGGTGAACGCAACCTGCCAACTGCAGCATTTGAAGCGAAGATAGGGTCAAGATGCGGGTACCATCATCTCATTGCCAGTATCTTGGGTTAATATTTGTCAAGTTTGCATCGGTGCAGCGCAGTGTGGTGCAGTGTACATGTACCTACAGGCAAAGCGGCGCATCTCGCTACAGCAGGGTATGGTGGGTTTAATTCAGCAGCTCGAATTGTGGATATTGATATTTCTTCAAGACGGCCTGAAAGACCAGAGGCTAAAGACCCGAGACACCTTACCCTCAACGATGGGAGGCTCAACAAGACGTCGTTTCAGAGTTCACAGGGTGATCAAGATCGGTTTGAAGCCCAGATTCACAGACGGCCGCGGGGATGTTCGTTGAATAAAATGGGCGGTGGCCGCTTTTGGTCAAGTGCGTGTGGCAGAATCCGACAGGGGTCCGTTTGAAACCCCACAAAAAAAGAAAGTTGCCCCTCGTTCGGCCTGCAACTCGAAATTAACCCTGCTGGCGAGAGCGCGGGCGGCCAATTGGTTTTCTGACGCAGCGGACGCGGCAGACCCCAACCTCGATTCCTGAGTCACCAATTTGAGTCACCCGTCAACATTACCCTCCGCATTCGAGCTGAACGAACACACGAGCGAACAAACCAGAGTCCACAATCACCAAACCCCTTGGCTCACTATGGCGCCCTCAACCACAGACGAGACCCTCGCCGCCGCGGCCGACGTGAAGCTCGGCTTGGCGGCCAACACCAAATCTGTCCTGACCAAGGAAGAGAAGATCGCCCTCATCCGTGTCAACCTTTCCGAGATCCTCGACTTCGACATTATCGAGAAGATCATTGACGAGGGGCGTCACCCGAGGATTTACTGGGGTAATTATTATCCCGGTCGACTTGTTCTGTCTGCGACTGTTTGCTAACGTCTTTTGTGTCCTCCAGGAACGGCCACGACCGGTTTGTCGCATCTTCGCTCAGCATCCCGTCCCCGAAACCGACTAACACTGCTTACAAGGCCGGCCTCATTGCGGATACTTTGTCCCGGCACTGAAGATTGGCCAGTACTTGGCTGCCGGTTGCAATGTCGTTATTCTCCTAGCCGACAGTACGTACCACCGTCTCAGAGGGAGAGTTTGGAAGTTAACAGATATGAAGTCCACGGCTTTCTCGACAATCTCAAGGCTCCTATTGAGCTCGTCCAGTACCGCGCCAAGTACTACCAGTTTTGCGTAACCTCCATTCTCAAGGCTGTGGGCGTCTCCACTGACAAGCTGGAGTTCGTCTTGGGGAGTTCCTACCAAAAGAGCCCCGAGTAGTATGTCTATCCGCCCCCCGGCTGCATTTCTATCACTTCAAGAGCTGACGATCTGGGCCTATCAGCATTATGGACGTCTACAAGCTTTGCTCCGTCGTTTCAGAGCACGATGCCAAGAAGGCGGGCGCTGAGATCGTAAAACAATCCGAGAACGCGCCGCTCTCTGGCCTCTTGTACCCTATCCTTCAGGTTCTCGACGAGGAGCACTTGAAGGTAGACGCACAGTTTGGTGGTGTGGACCAGCGAAAGCTGTTCACTGCCGCCAAGGAATGGCTGCCCAAGCTGGGATACCGTCAGGTAATTCCACCCTCACTCATCATTATGGCCAGGCCAGATCTAACAGGCAAATTAGCGTGCCCATCTGATGAACCCCATGGTTCCAGGCTTGCAAGGATCCAAGATGTCATCCAGTGACCCAGGTATGTTCTCCGTGTCTCATCTTATCTCATCTGGCTTCTAACAAATTGGCGCAGACAGCAAAATCGATCTCCTCGACTCCCCGGAGGTTGTCACAAAAAAGATCAAGAAGGCGGAGGCTGCCCCCGGTGTCACTGAGGGCAACGGCCTTTTGGCATTCACTGAGCACGTATTACTGCCTGCGAAAACTTTGCACGGAGGCTCGTTCCAGGTTGACCGCGAGCGGGATGGCCTGCCGCCCCTTGTTTACACCGATATTACACAAATGCACAGTGACTACAAGAGCGATGTCGTAAGTCTATTTGATCAACTTACTATATGCTTAGGTGCTAACGAAATATGCAGCTCACACCCCAACTCCTCAAACCCGCAATTTCCAAAGGTTTGAATGAGCTCATGGCTCCCATTCAAGCAGACTTCCAAGCCTCCAAGGAGTGGCAAGAAATCACACTCAAGGCCTACCCGCCCGAAGAGAAGCCGAAGAAGGTAAAGAAGGTCAAGGACAAGGGTTCCCGCTACCCCGGTGGTGGCGCACCACCAAAAGATGGCGCTGCTAAAGATGGAAATGCGAATGCTATTCTAGACCAATAGACCTGATGCTTTTGCTCATCTTTTGCATTCTGTCGATTTTCACACCATAGCCGAGAACGGACTAAAAGTCGGAGCATAGAGGATAATTAATATCATTCGCAATTCAGTCTAGATAGCCGCATTGTGAAACCACCTGAACTTTCTGCTTGCGTTACGGT